AAGGCGACTCAAGTTCGCCTGACGCTTCCTTAAGTCCTCCTCCCGCACAGACCGCACAAGCTCCAGGCCCTCAGGGGGCCCAGGGGCGGGACTTCCGGTAGGACTGGCTTTCCGGTAGGGGCGGGGCTTCCGTTCGGGCGCCGGGCCGCAGTGCCTGGGCTGTGGGTTTTAATTCCTGAAAGCACGTGGCCCGCGCCTTAGGCTTGGGGAGTGCAGAGCGGAGAGGCCGGGCGGCTGAGTCGTCTGCGCGAGTCGCGGCCCAGCTCTGGGCGAGGGGCCTCCGGCGGCGCTCACACCCTGCGCCCTCGGTCATGGACTACCGGCGGCTGCTGATGAGTCGGGTGGTTCCCGGGCAGTTCGACGACGCGGACTCCTCCGGCAGGTAGAAGGCCGTGACGCACACCCGGGGGTCCGTTGGGATTTTGTTGTCTCTGCCGCCGCCGCTCCCTGGACGGCATGAACCCTGGTTTAGAGGGACGCTGGTAGTACCACTCGGGGGCTCTCCTCGCAGCCTTTCGCGTCTTTTTCCATCCCAGCCGCGACTTTCGTCCCAGTTTGTGGCTGAGTTAATGAAAGCCACTTGTCAAGGGAGTCCAGGGTTCCCAGGTTGGTGAGCATCGCTGAGAGGCCAAGTTGGGCATAGAGACTGGGAAACAGGTTTTTGTGCTTTGACTACATTTAGCGTTTCAAAAATACGCGAGCATCTAATACGTGCCAGGTTCTGTTCGCAGTGCTGGAGATAGTGATGAACACGAAACAGTCCCTGTTACTGAATTTTACCTTCTATTAGAGAGGGAGGGCAGACAAGTACAAAGGTATTTTAAAAAAACCCCAAACCCCCACACCAGATAATATATACTATGCAAATAATTTAAAACAGTTGATAGACTAAGTTATGATTTGTTCAGGGAGAGGGTAAGTCGAGATCTGAACGACGAGAATGAGTTGACCTGAGGCTGAGGAGAGAGAATAGCCATTCGGGAAGAGGGGACAGCAAGTGCAAAGTCTGCACTTTGAGATCCCTCCTGGCTGTGAAAGGAAGATCTAGAAGCCATTGTGCCTAGAGCACAGCAGAGGTAATTGAGAAGATTGGTAGGTAATGATACAGAAGTGAAAAGGGGCCAGATCCCCTAGAGCCTTACAAGCAAGGAGCTGAGAGATTCTAGGTCTTAGAGAGCCCTAAGAGGGGTTTTAGCAGGGGGGTGACATCATCTGACTTATGACTTAAAGGAATCACTCTGCTATGGAGAAGATGGTTTTGGAATGCAGAGGGGAAGCGGTACAAAAGTAATAAAGTAATTCAGTTAGAGATGATGGACATTAGAGGTAGGGTCATAGAGATATGTTTTGCAGGTCGAAGTGACAATTTGGTGGTAGATTGGATGTGGGATCTGAGGCAACAGGAATTAAGAGTAACTATTACACGAAAGCAAAATGAAACAGTTATAGAAAATGGTTTTTACCTATGTATACAGTAAGGTTTCATTGCATGTAAATTTTCTTAATTGTAGGTTCTCCAATAAGTATACATTGATCACTTTCTATGAGTCAGATCTAGTGTTGGTAGGGATACATTGGTAAACATTACTTGACACAAAGCTTGCACTCTGGCAGGGAAAACATATTAAATAACTAGACAAATGATTTGTATTTGAATTGGATAAGTAGGACAAAGGAGAAATGGGTGAAGAATAGGGAAGACGTCCCCGAGCAAGTTATAGTAAGCTAATACTGGAAGGATAAGTAGGATTTAGCTGGAGAAATGAGAAGGACATTCCAGATTTATGTTTACACATGAGCATACAAAAGGCCCAAGGGAAGAAGTTAAGGGGAACTATCCACCACTGGATATTATAAAGATAAACCATTGGATTCTGTTCTTCTTCCTCCCAGTGCCCCCGCCCCCTCCAGTGACTTTAGGCAATTTCTGGAGACATTTTTGTTTGTCACANCGGAGAAATGAGAAGGACATTCCAGATTTATGTTTACACATGAGTGTACAAAAGGCCCAAGGGAAGAAGTTAAGGGGAACTATCCACCACTGGATTATTATAAAGATAAACCATTGGATTCTGTTCTCCTTCCTCCCAGTGCCCCCTCCCCCTCCAGTGACTTTAGGCAATTTCTGGAGACATTTTTGTTTGTCACAACTGGGGATGCTGCTCCACTAGTGGCATCTGGTAGGTAGAGGCCAGAGATGCTGCCAACAATCCTGTGAGGCAACAAGACAGCCTCCCACAACAAAGAATTGTCCAGCTGAGGTTGAGAAGCTCCCGNAACTGGGGATGCTGCTGCACTAGTGGCATCTGGTAGGTAGAGGCCAGAGATGCTGCCAACAATCCTGTGAGGCAACAAGACAGCCTCCCACAACAAAGAATTGTCCAGCTGAGGTTGAGAAGCTCCCGTACTATTGGAGGTCTAACTTTAACATGCCACTCTAGGTTATTAGCAAATGAAGGATCAATTTATGGATTATAATTATGAAATCCTAGTAAATAGTAGGTGTTTAATGATTATTTNGTGTTTAATAATTATTTGTTCTGTGGAGATTTGGAGCCCTGTAAACCATGGCTAATAAGTCAGGAATGATAATCTGGATTTACTTAAATTCACATCTGACTTCTTAAGCTNTAGGTGTTTAATGATTATTTCTTCTGTGGAGATTTGGAGCCCTGTAAACCATGGCTAATCAGTCAGGAATGATAATCTGGATTTACTTAAATTCACATCTGACTTCTTAAGCTGGTAGTGCATATTATCAATTGTTTTATATTGTTTCTGTCTTCATTCTCTGCATGAGGTCAAAACTGGTAGTACCTCTGTTGAATCTGACTTGCCAGACTGTTTTGTTTGGTATGCACAGCGTTTTGATAAAATTGAAAATGCCAATTTAGTGGAAGATTTTACACAAAAATCCATATACCTGGCTTCTCTTGAAAAACAAAGATGTAACACTGGGTCTGAATTTTCACGTGGCAATAATAAGCCCTGTTGTGCTTTCTCTACTGTGGCCATGTTCTCTGGGTTTGACAATCCCTACCTCTGTTTAATTTTACCCAACTTACTTTCTCATTTGTGGTGCTTACATTCACCATTTCTTCCCTTCATGAACAAGGGTGATTTGAAGTTCTTTGTGTAACACAAATCTTGAATATAGCTTCTTTTGTTGCAGGGTGGTATTGAGTTCAAGGTAAAGCTGCTTTAGACTTATTCCCAAGTTTTGTCAGAAAGCTTTTTTTTTTTTTTTAACTTCTCTTAAAGCATCTCTGTAAGTAGTTTTTCTAGTCAGATCTGGAATATTGATCAAAGCCAGTTCATTCAGCAGAGAAGATAGCAATGTAAATTCTAACTTAGGCAGAGGTGTATTTAACCTGATGTACTTTTTAGTAGGACCAAGAGAACAATCAAACAACTGGAACAGAACTCTGAAAAACAGAACTTGGTACTAAGATTAAGATCACTGGCAGATATATTGTAAGGGAACCTTTTAGTTTTATTGGTATAGGTTTAGTCTATTATATTGTAAATAAATACATATGTAAGTTTAATTAGAGTATGCATAAACATGCTAAAACATTTTTATTTCTAGTGATGAAAACATTGACTTAAAGACAATCAAAGAGGAAGATGACATTCTATTTGAAGACTTTCAAAATAATGTGACTGAGAAGATGGATGAAGGTGAGATAGAAGATGAGGAGGAGGAGGATTATGATGATGATGATGATGATTGGGACTGGGATGATGGAGCTGGAAAACTCACCAAGTGTTATATCTCGAATGGAGGGAGTAACCCACAGGTATTTTATAAGTGATTCTATACATCTTTTTGTTGTTTGCTTATGTCTTTTTATTTATTTTTTTGAGGGTCTACTGTTGTTTTTTTAATTGAGTTTGTTGGGGTGACATTGGTTAATAAAATTATATAGGTATCAGGTATACGATTCTACAGTACATCATCTGCATATTGTGTGTTCATCACCCCAAGTCACATCGTCTCCCATTACCATTTATCTCCCTTACCTTCTACCTCCCCCAAATCCCCTTTCCTCTGGCATTCACCATACTGTTATCTGTGTCTATGAGGGTTTTTTTTTTTCTTTGCTTAATCTGTTTACCTTTTTCACCCAGCTCTCCAACCCCCCTTCCCTCTGACAGCTGTCAGTCTGATCTCTCTATCTATGAATCTGTTTCTATTTTGTTCATTAGATTCCACATAGAAGTGAAATTATATAGGACTTTCTCTCACTGGCTTACTCAGCATAATACTCTCCAGATCCATCCATGCTGTCACAAAAGATAAGATTTCTTTCTTTTTTACGACCAAGTAGTTAGTATTCCCTTGTGTAAATGTACCACAGCCTTTTTATCCACTCATCTACTGATGGGCACTTGGGCTGCTTCCAAATCATGGCTTTTGTAAATAATGCTACAATGAACATAGGGGTGCATATATTTTTTCAAGTTAGTATTTCAGGTTTCTCTGGATATATTTCCAGAAGTGGAATTGCTGGGTCATAAGGCAGTTCCATTTTTAATTTTTTGAGGAACCTCCATAATGTTTTCCACAGTGGCTGCACCAATCCACATTCCCATTAACAGTGCAGGAGGGTTCCCTTTTCTCCACATTTTCGCCAACACTTGTTTGTTGATCTGTTGATGGTGCGATGCTGACAGGTGTGAGGTGATATCTTGTTGTGGTTTTAATTTACATTTCTCTGATGATTAGTGATGTTGAGCATTTTTTCATATGTCAATTTGCCACTTGTATGTCCTTTTGGAGAAGTGTCTATTCAGGTCCTTTGGCCATTTTTTAATTGGCTTGTTTGTTTTTTGGTGTTATATTAAGTTCTTTTATATTTTGGGTTTTAACTCCTTATCAAATGTATCATTGGAAAATATGTTGTCCCATTCAGTGGGTGGTTTTTCATTTTGTTGACAGTTTCTTTTGCTGTACAAAACTTTTTAGTTTGATGTAGTTTCATTGCTTATTTTTTCTTTTGTTTCCCTTGCCCAAGGAGATATATCAGAAAAAAATCTTGCTCTGAGAAATGTCTGAAATTTTGCTACCTATGTTTCTTCTAGGATTTTTATGATTTTGAGTCCTAACATTTAAGTTTTTATTCCATTTTGAGTTTATTCTTGTGTGCGCCAAGGATGGTTTTTACCTGCACTGAGCTTGGGGATAGGTCAACAAAAGTCCCAAGGCACCCTGAGATCCACCTTTGACTGCCTCTGCCTGCCAGCTGCCTGTTAGGCTCAGTAGTTGAAAGAGCCTCTGGCGGTACTCAAATTACATGAGGTAGGTTCTCAGTGAGTCACCAGGTAGGGACGAATGATGTTCACCAGATTGATGTAGGTTCAAACTCAGTGCCAATGCTGGGTCTGAGGCCACTCAGCAGATGACCCAGGATATACCAAATTTGGCTCTCACCTACTGGGTGCTTGTACACCTTTGTGTTGGGACAGGATCTGGGGAGTCATCAGGGTGAGGCCAGCAGAGTTTATTAGACACAAACAGACCATTTGGCTTTGTGATGGGAGGTCTCTGTAAGGGAAAAATTGCATTTGTCCTTGAGCCACACAACTCAGTCTGACCCAGATTCTGCCAGGAGCCCAATCTCAATAGGGTAGGGCCTCTGGGATCCTGGAGAGAGGGGCTAGCGGATCTCCCACTTGGTGGAAGCCCCAGTTAGGTTCATGGAAAAGTGAGAGGAATGGCCTCTGCCCCAAAGCCACATAACTTAGTTACTAATACCCTCTGAGTCTGCCCAGACCTTTACACTCTGGCCCAGGCAGCTGATTCTTCAGCAGGGCAAAAGCTCTACAGGGTGGTGTGAAAGGAAATCTAGAGGGTGGGGCTATTGCATTCCCCCAGGGTCTTACTCTGTCGAGGGGAGTGCTCCATCCAAGATAGATGGCATCTGTGGTTTGGGAGAGTGTCTCAGAACAAGGATCTTGGAGGCTGTTCCTTCAGCTCTCTCCCCGTAGCCACAAACCTCAGTCTCTCCTCATGTGACTCTAGAGTGTTCCACCCTTCCCTCTGCTAGATCCAAGGGTGAGTAGCTGCAAAGGAGATTTTGTGCACTAGCCCTTTAAGAAGGTGCCCGTGTCTCTAGCAGACTTCTCTCTCACCATGGCCAACAGAATCCTTGCTGACTTTCGCAGCCAGAAGTTATGTGGGTGCATTTTCCCAGCTCTCGTGCTCTGGGCTGGGGAGCGCAGCTTGGGATTGAGACTCTGTGCTTCTCAGGGGGAAGCTTTGCAGCTGAGATATCCCTCTGAAACCTCAGCCGCCGCCCATGGGAGCGGAGCTAGCCCTTTTAACATCTCCGCATTTCCTACCAGTCTCAATGTGGCTCCTTCTGTAAGTCATTGGTTATGCGACTTTTCTCCAGCTAGTCTTCAGTTGGTTATTCAGGTTGCTTGCTCTATAATTTAGTTTTCATTCCAGTTTGGTCCTGGGAGGAGTGAGTGTAATATCTACCTACTCCCTGCCATCTTGAATGTCTCTATATGTCTTCTTTTTTAAAAGACTTTTTGTGGTCCTGAAATTGAGTAAGTGAAAGATTTCCTTCAGGTTATATTGCCCTGTAGCGCCAGCCTTTATTGATTTTTATTTTTTACTTTTCCATATTTCTCATGATGTCATGAATATAGATTCCTTCCATATCAGTAAATTTAAAAAGACTTATTTAGCCCTGGCTTGTGAGGCTCAGTGGTTAGGGCATCTGCCCATGCACTAAAGAGTCATGGGTTTGATTCCCAGTCGAGGGCACATACCTGAGTTGCAGGTTTGATCCCCTGCTCCAGTTGGAGCGCCTATGGGAGGCAGCCAATCAGTGTGTCTCTCTCACATTGATGTTTCTGTCTCTCTTTTTCTCTCTGTCTCTCTCTCTTTCTCCCTCTGTCCCTTCCACCCTTCCACTCTCTCTAAAAATCAATGGAAAAAATATCCTCATGTGAGGATTAATAAAAATAAAAAGTTATTTAAATTATCATAAGATAATGAGCTTAAAAATTTGCATGGGAAAGAACACGAATAGTTTTCTACAAATGGTTAACATGTAGAAAAATTTCCAACTTCATTAGTAATTAAAGAAATGCAGATTAAATATATATAGAGAAGCCTTGTTTTCACCTACAAAACTGACAAAGACATAAAATATGTAATTGACAGTCCAGTAAATAGTACAGTTATTTGGAGGACAAACTGGCATTAATGAAAGCTCACAAAATAACCACTTTTACTCCGCAGTTTTTCTAGGAGCATACCAAAGTTTTAGTTCCAAAATGATCCTCTAGTATTGTTTGTAGTAGAGGAACTCTGAAAACAACCGTGATTAAATTTGCTATAGGGTTGGTTGACACAATGGATATTATGCAGCTGTACAGTGTGTTGCAGTGGAAACTGCATTAATGACATGGAGATATGTCCGTGAGCTACACAAGTGACCAAGCCACGCAGAGCCTGCGTCTCAACCAGGGAGTACCAAGTGTCAGGTGTTTGCAGAGCCATAGGATTAACAGGGTGCCTCTTACTGGAGCATGAAGGTTCCTGAAAAGATAGGGAGGGGAGAAAATAAGAAATATTTCCCTGAAAATTAAAACAGTTAAATTGTGGACTAGAATGCATGGACTTCTAAAATAACTGAAGAAATTTTCCCCTTGTGGTTTTGTTTTGGTAACTCTTCCATTGATTCATGGGTAAGACGTTTAACAATTTGAACAGAGAGTGCAATTTCTTTTAAGAAAGCTAGAAAAAAAATATATGTGCTTAAATGTCAGCTGACTGTTATCTTTGGGCCCTGATATTATAGGTGATTAAAATTTTACTTGTGTTTTCTACTATGAACATTATTTTAATTTTAAATTTATCTTAAAAGTTACATTTGAGAAAAAAGTTAACTTGTTTGCAAATAAACACCCCAGCCTCCAATTTCCAGGCTTAGGTAACAGGATGGAATCAGTAATTATTATAGATACTTTATCTATACTTTATTCTCTTACTTATGTGCTCTGGATGTCACCTCCCCTTTCTTTTTCCAATTATTTAAGTTTGTACATGGCACCAGTCAGTGCTAAGCCTCAGTCTTCATCTTTTCTTTTCTTGAGATACCAGGCCCAAAATGAAATTCTTAGCACCAGTGTATTATTGGTCTGGGCTCTTTATTATTCACATTGGCCGTAAGTGAACATTTTCAAGTTTTAGAGATACAAAACAGTCAAATTAGAAAAATGCATTAAACCTTAATTTATTTATAATGTAATGAGGAATACATTATGAACAGGTTAAAAAACCCCACTCAGATTATTCAGACTCTTCATTTTAGCCAGTAACTCTAACCAGCTATTTCAGAAGCGGTTTGAAAACATTTGAGCACGTCTGATCCTTCCCTGGCCTTCAGGTACTCCTCTAAGTGTTGATGCTTTAATAGTTAGTCGTGAACCAGGGGAAAAACACATGATGATGAACCTTAGGTGTGTATTTATAAGTAGTGCCTTAAATTCTAGCTCATTTCTTCTAGGCAAATCGNCTGGCCTTCAGGTACTCCTCTAAGTGTTGATGATTTAATAGTCGTGAACCAGGGGAAAAACACATGATGATGAACCTTAGGTGTCTATTTATAAGTAGTGCCTTAAATTCTAGCTCATTTCTTCTAGGCAAATCGACAGCCTTCCAACTATAATTCAGCCAAAATGTCTACTCCAGCAGACAAGGTCTTACGGAAATATGAGAACAAAATTAATCTAGGTGAGTTTGTAAAATACATTTCCTCATTGGGCTATGAGAAAATTCTTCAGAAACACATGAAGTGTTATAAAATGTTATTGGATCAAGAAATAAGTGTATTTTTGCCCTGGCCGATGTGGCTCAGTTGATTGAAGCGTCTGTCACCTTATATACCGAAAGGTTGCAGGTTTGATTTCTGGTCAGGGCACATACCTAGGGTGTGGGTTTGATCCTCAGTCAGGGCACGTATGGGAGAAAATCAATTCATGTTACCCCCTCTGCCAAAATCAATAAAAACATAAAAAATAGAAAAGAACTGAGTATATTTAGTGTTACCAACTGAATAGTGCTTAGAGGAAATAAGAACTTGGTAACTTAAAAACATTGCTTCAGGGGAAAGAAGCAGCGTTTTGCTTCTTTTAGTTCTGTTTCTTGCCTGGTGTACAGATACAAAATTGCAGATACACTCAAGTTATTGTCTGTTTTATATTAGATTTTGTAGTCAGATTATCTCATAGAAGGATATTGAAAAGACTAGAATGCTGGATATAATTACATTTTGTTTACCAGAGACATTTTATGTAGGCATTAATCATTTAATGAGCTGTTGAATGCAGGAATCAGAATGTTTTGAGAGAAATACAAGGTCGTTTTTCTGTTGTAGACATTGACTTGTTATAAATTTAGCATAGCATCTCATAGCCTATTACTGCCTTTCATGGACCTATAATTTGAACTGAAACTGAAGTTTAGAATTAAACTTAGAATTCAGGCAGTTACATTACCTATATTAGTTGTAAAAAATATTAAGTGTCTGAAATCCAGCATATGCAGATAGAGTATTTTTGAGGGATTTCTATATCAAGATTTCTATGGCTCAAAAATTATGGCTGTAGTGATAAAAGTGACACTTGTTATCAAGGAAACACAACTTAGAGCTTATCTTTAAAAACATTAAAAAATTTTTGTTACTAAAATATGTTCTATGTATAATAAACTATTTAGAAAATAGAAAAGGAAGAGAGGAGAAGTGTCCTGTTCAGAAAGACGTTGTTTACATTGTCGATTTCCCCCTCCCTATTTTTTAGATAAGCTAAATGTTACTGATTCTGTCATAAATAAAGTCACCGAAAAGTCTAGACAAAAGGAAGCCGATATGTAAGTAATATTTTAACTATAAAACATGGCTGATAGGGACTAAATCTAGACAAAATAAGTGGCATTGTGGTCATAATTCTTTTGCAAAGGATGGTATTTTTGTTTTGGGGTGTATTTTTTGTATACTTAAAGCCTTTTTTTTTTTTTTTTTAAGCTTAAATGCCTTTGTTCACAAATGTGCTCTTAGGATAACAGTGTTTGTAAATTTCTGTTTAAATGTTTAAACTGTTAAAAGGTTAAAATCTTAGCATAAAAATGCTTCCTTTTTAGAATTTATTTAAAAATTGTTCCCTTTCATGATATGTTTTTTAAAAATGAAGGGAAACCCTGGTCGGTGTTGCTCAGTGGTTGGAGCATTGTCCTTAAACCACGGGGTTGCAGATTCGATTCCCAGTCAAGGGCATGTACCTGGTTGTGGGTTCACTGCCTGCCCCCACTCGGGGTGTGTGTGCAGGAGGCAACTAGTTGATGTGTCTCACATCAGTGTTTCTGTCTTTCTCCCACTCCCTCCTTTCCACTCTCTGAAAAGCAAAAGCAATGGAAAAAATATCCTTGGGTTGGAATAACAAAACAAAAAAAATGAAGGGAAGATTTAAAACTAAATAATAATATAACCAAAAACAAATTACATTTACACTTCTGTTCTCAAAACCATTTGTAAGATCTGCCTAATTTCTATATGCTATTAACTCTAAGACATTAACATCTTTTAGAAAGTGGCACTAAGATCATACAACTAGCAGTGTTAGAACTGAACTTAAAAACCAAGTTTCCACTGACAAAAAAACAATTTTTTTCTGGTTTATTGCTATACGCAAGATATACTAACTTTCTGAGAAACACCATAGTCATTTGTTATTTCATTGAAGTGTCTGAATCTTTGTGTTTAACTCTATTACATTAGGTTCGTGTGCTAATTGAGTCAGTGTTTGAGCTTAAGCTAATCAGAGTCTGCATTTTTAATACAGAACTCAGTAACTGCTTGAAATGATGTCTCGACTTGTGTCTGAAGAAAGGACTCTAAAAGAACAAGCCTTATAAATTGACTTTAATTAGGTACTAATAGAATCAGGAAAGATTTGAAGGACAGTATAGACTTGATCTTTTTTACAGCATAGTTTACTTTACTCCACCTGTTCTTTTTATTTAATGCTTCTAAATTATGGATATAATTTTTTACTGCAGATACGCTCCTTTTGCCCTAGGGAACTGAATTGCTTATTAAGGGGAAATGAAAGATACTTCACTGAGTGATGAAACTGTCGAGATCCTGAAATCTGTTATTAAAGCAGCTACCTACTTAGGAATTTCATGGAATGATGTACATGTAGAAACTTTTTATTTGGCTTCTCTGACTGAATTTTGAGTGTCACCTATACTTTTTCCTTTTTGGTTAGGTATCGCATCAAAGACAAGGCGGACAGAGCAACTGTAGAACAGGTACAATTTAAATGTGTTATAAGTTCTTATTTTAAACTAGCACTTTTTTCTCTCTGGATTATAGTTTTCCTTTCACCTTCTTGCTTAATACTAATGTTATATAAAATTACTCCTATATAAAATTACTCCTTCTTATAGTTTTGAGTTTAGAGATCTACATTTTGCTTTGTTTGTAATAGGACTATTAATACACAATTTAGAACCATGCCCCCTTCATGGCCCTGTGAAGCCACCATGCAATGCTTTCATCTAGGGCAGGGGTGGGGAACATCTTGCCCTATACATACGGCCCCTATGTGGCCTTTGAAATCATTTGGTCTGGCCTGCCAAGGCCTCATAAAAGAGAAGCAATTCCAGCCATCACATTAGGGATGAGTTAATTAAATGTTTGACCAGATATAGCAGGCTAACTTTTAGGTTGATAATTTTATATGGCCTGGGAATGATGTTATAAATATCCAAATGACCTTTGGCAGAAAAAGGGTTCCCACCCCCTGTTCTCGGGGGAAGCAGAATTGACTGTAAGACCAGGAATCTTTTTCTCTTGTCTTAAACAAGGTCTCCAGGAATTTTGTGAACTTTCTCAGAAGCAGTTCAGGTATCTGCCACAAAGTAGGGTGGGTGGTAGTGTATGAGAGAGAGACGGGCAATGCCTTAAAATTTTCATTTAGAAATCCCTTACTTGGTTTAGAAATTATGCTTGTTTGATTCTTTCTGTTCAAGAATGGGGGAAAGTCAGCCCCCAGTTTTCCTACATGTAGTGGGTTGTGATTGGATGTTGGCATTAACCCAGATTTTTGATGTGAACAAAGTGATAGGAAGGATCAGAACATTGCTGCTGCAGCCCACGACCCTCTCCCTGCCCACACACATGTGCACAAACAAATTTTGCGGTAGCAGCCCCTTCAACCTACAGATCCTTGGTTTAAGACATAGCACCACTTGTACTATTTACCTCAATCCCCGAAGGAGTAACACCCTACCTGAGATCTAGAACCAGTTGTGCAATTGAATTTCACATTTAGTCAGGTGGGGGCAGGTCTGGGATCTGTGTCTCCATTGGTTTCTAATTTATTCTGTGTGATTTCTTTTTGTGATTGAAATCAGAGTGTGGTCCAGCTCAAAGAGATGAGGCAGCTTTAATTTTCCAAGACCCTAAAATCCTTCTTTCATCTCTTTGAAATGAATTTTGAATGAGAGTATGTATTTTGAGTCTTAAGCTGTCCTTATAAAACATACTTGTAAGTTTATTCTCTTATATTTATTTCTCTTTCCCTATCTTGAGCCTTTTTGGTATGTTCCGCCTTTCTATCCCCCTGACTTGGCTACCTGCTAGTTTTGCAGATGCTCAGGTCTCTGTGGATTCCTGTGCTCAGCCAGCTTACACCCCTGCTGTTTACCTGTGCAGCAGAGAAGGAAGCTTGGTTTCGGCCTAGTCACTCACTTTCCTTTCATTTTCTTCCATTTGCCATGGTTGTAGTTTGGGTTTTAGTTCTGCAGTCTTTTACAGTTATTTTGTTTCTATCAACCTTAGGTTTCTGGGATGACCATAGCCACCTCATTGAAGGATGGACCCTAGAGTTTAGTTAGATTTGGCCACTTGACACTGTCTCACTCTATGAAGCTAGAGGGGCTGCCTGAGCCATGAGAAGCTCTTGTAGTGTCCCTGGAAATTTCATGTAAATATGTGGTTGCTTCGGTTTCAGACATGGACTGGAGCAGGCTTTAGTTCATTGCCTCCTGTTTGTTAAGGAGGACTTTGGGGTCGTCTTTACTCAAAATTGACTGCCCTGACTTAGAAGGAGACACTTTCCCTGATTTACTCATCTATAACAAGGGGCTGCAAACTCTTTTAAAGGACTGAAGAATAAATACTTTAAACATTGTGGCTCACAATTCTCTTTTTTTTTAACAAGTGTTTTAAAATGTAAAAACTGTTCTTAGCTTACAGGCTGTAGACAGACAGGCTGCCGCCTGGATTTCACTCATGAGTTATAGGATGCTGACCCCTGGTTCAAATAGAGTGGCCACTGAGCGCTTGGAATGTGGTGTTCTGAATGAGACGTGCCGTAAACGTGAATACACATTAGATTTTGAAGACTTAGGGTTACAGAATGTTAAATCTCTCACTAATAACTTTTAAAATATTGATTACGTGTTGAAGTGGTAGTGCTTGAGATGTATTGAATTAAAACCAATGTATTAAAACTAATTTTACCTGTTATCTTTTATATCTTTTAATGTGGTAACTAGCATTGTATTTCTATTAGTGAATATTGGTCTGGAGTCAATTTCTGCCTCCCTTGGACTTGGTAGCCTTTGATTTCTTTGACTGAATGACTTGTTGGTTTATTGTCTCTCTGGTTCCTTTGCCTTCACGTCACATTCTCTTTATTAAAAATTAGAATGAATTAAAACACTGTAATAGTAACTCTCATTTAGCCAACCAGGATTGCATGATACAGTTAAGTTCTTTAGTTTTATTAATTGTCAAATTCTTCAGTGAGAAATATTTGGTACTATCTTTCTGAACTTCTTTTTTTGCATTTATTTTTAGGTGTTGGATCCCAGAACACGAATGATATTATTCAAAATGTTGACTAGAGGAATCATATCAGAGATAAATGGCTGCATTAGCACAGGAAAAGAAGTGAGCTTTTCTTTGGATATCTGAATGTTTTCATGTTAGTTTTCTTATTTCAGATAAGAAATGAAACTAAGGCATTTTGTAAATAAAATGTGCCTTTAAAAAGAAACATATATGTGTGTGTGTGTGTGTGTGTATACACACACACACACACATATAAGAGTCAGGATAGTTTAATCAATGTTTCTAAAAATGGCTTTATTAATATTNATACACACACACACACACACACATATGAGAGTCAGGATAGTTTAATCAATGTTTCTAAAAATGGCTTTATTAATATTTATGGCTAGGTAGGAAGTCGTGCACATAATTGTGCCTTTTCACTGCTATTGCTCTACCGTACCATTGAGGCCAACTAGCTGTGCTCAGCAGTGAGCTTAGATGGTCAGGATACTGCAGGCCTGAGTCCTATTTAGATAGTTGCTAATAGGGGCAGGAGGTTATGGTCTAGTTTCTGTGAGTCAACAAATGTCTTTCTCCATATATATATATGGATATGCAGATAGAACAAACATGGAGTTTTTAAATTAGCAACTCATTCTTATGGGAAGCAGTTCTCAGTAAATAAATTTATAAATCATGGATGTGAGAGTGTCTTCAACTATTTTCCACATGCTCAAGATATAAAAATGTTTGAAACTGCTTCTCACATGTATTTAAGTTGGATTTTACTATTTATGTAATTTGGAGATATATTAACTGTGTCTTTTGGTATGATGGTTTATATTTTAATTCATATATTCAAAAGATGATTGTGTTCCTGATACCTGTTATTTCAGTTCATTTGACTTAACTTTTGAGAATAGAATCAAATAGATTGAAAAAGTAAAATTCTGTTTGTAGTTATTTAACACAAACTTAATTTTCTTTGGTTTTGACCTAAAATAGGCTAATGTATACCATGCCAGCACAACAAATGGAGAGAGCAGAGCAATCAAAATTTATAAAACTTCTATTTTGGTGTTCAAAGATCGGGATAAGTATGTAAGTGGGGAATTCAGGTAAGCTCAGGTTTTTTTTTACAATTGGATTAATTTCTGTATTCTAAAAAATAAAAACTAGAATGCAATGATTCAGATAACAAATGTTTTTCTTGTTCAAGATTTCGTCATGGCTATTGTAAAGGAAACCCCAGAAAAATGGTGAAAACTTGGGCAGAAAAAGAAATGAGGAACTTGATCAGGTGACTGTCTCAGTGTGTGTCTGTGCTGTGCCTGCACATTGGCTTCGGCTGTTTCTCACCGGCAGATCCAGTGTGGTGCTGCCCAAAGATAGGGACATGGTGGGGCTGTTCAGGTCCATTAGACCTGCTGAAGTAAGCAGAAACCAATTTCTGGACAGTAGGAGCTACCATATCTTGTCTGTTTGGATCATTTAAGGAGCCTTAGAAGCCAGGTGAAAACACTTAGAATTCATACTGAGGACAGTGAGGAGCTGTTACGGGATTTTTAGCAGGGAAGTGACTTAATCAGGTGGTGGGAATGATGTGTCATTTTTAAACAGGTATTAGAGTTTTAGACAGTTTTGTTAGGTCCAAAACTCTGTCAGTTTCCTTTTCTTATTTCAGTCCAGTTTTGGACACATTTATGTATATGCTGTACATGGGTGACATATGCTGGCTATTTTAGTATTAAGCAGGTATTAGTGAGTGTTTGAAAGCCCTTCTGAAGTCTGCATGTGTTCAGTTAGCTATTAGGTATGGGTGCAGTTGTTTTTACTGATCATTGCTAAGGCTGATCAGCTCGAAAGATCGTTGCAGACATATCTGCTGTATTTCATCAACTCTAAGACTCACATTTTTTGCACAGTTTAACATCTCTGGAATTGGATTGAGTGTTAGAGGCTTTGGGATGTTGTAGTTGAATTGGCAGTGTTTTGCCGTTCTTGATGGTGCGTGATGGTGCCACTTAAAATCACTAGTGTCTTAAAGTTTTTGGAATACAGTAATATATTGAGAGACCCTGATGCTGTTTCCTAGCAGCAGTATTCATTATGTGTACTGTAGCTGTTGTAATTTGTTTTAGATGCTTTTTCAACTTTTTTTTGTGTGCTTTTATCTGTTTTACTATCACAGGCTAAACACAGCAGGGATCCCATGCCCAGAACCTATCCTGCTACGAAGTCATGTTCTTGTCATGGGCTTCATTGGTAAAGATGACATGTGAGTATGTGGAAGGCCTAATAATTACATGCTCAGGATTGTATTTTTAAGTGCTTTGAATTATCCAATATATGAATATTTCCCATTAAAATAGCTTGTTTTGTCTTGGAATATTTTTAATGACTCTTTTCCAGTGTATTAGTGCATAGAGTTATTAATTTATTCTACCTTTTAAAGTCTTAAAATGCTTCAGAATAACAAAGTTTACTTTTTGAGGAATATTTTGTACGGTAAGCTNGGCTGTTTCTCACCGGCAGATCCAGTGTGGTGCTGCCCAAAGATAGGGACATGGTGGGGCTGTTCAGGTCCATTAGACCTGCTGAAGTAAGCAGAAACCAATTTCTGGACAGTAGGAGCTACCATATCTTGTCTGTTTGGATCATTTAAGGAGCGTTAGAAGCCAGGTGAAAACACTTAGAATTCATACTGAGGACAGTGAGGAGCTGTTACGGGATTTTTAGCAGGGAAGTGACTTAATCAGGTGGTGGGAATGATGTGTCATTTTTAAACAGGTATTAGAGTTTTAGACAGTTTTGTTAGGTCCAAAACTCTGTCAGTTTCCTTTTCTTATTTCAGTCCAGTTTTGGACACATTTATGTATATGCTGTACATGGGTGACATATGCTGGCTATTTTAGTATTAAGCAGGTATTAGTGAGTGTTTGAAAGCCCTTCTGAAGTCTGCATGTGTTCAGTTAGCTATTAGGTATGGGTGCAGTTGTTTTTACTGATCATTGCTAAGGCTGATCAGCTCGAAAGATCGTTGCAGACATATCTGCTGTATTTCATCAACTCTAAGACTCAAATTTTTTGCACAGTTTAACATCTCTGGAATTGGATTGAGTGTTAGAGGCTTTGGGATGTTGTAGTTGAATTGGCAGTGTTTTGCCGTTCTTGATGGTGCGTGATGGTGCCACTTAAAATCACTAGTGTCTTAAAGTTTTTGGAATACAGTAATATATTGAGAGACCCTGATGCTGTTTCCTAGCAGCAGTATTCATCATGTGTACTGTAGCTGTTGTAATTTGTTTTAGATGCTTTTTCAACTTTTTTTTGTGTGCTTTTATCTGTTTTACTATCACAGGCTAAACACAGCAGGGATCCCATGCCCAGAACCTATCCTGCTACGAAGTCATGTTCTTGTCATGGGCTTCATTGGTAAAGATGACATGTGAGTATGTGGAAGGCCTAATAATTACATGCTCAGGATTGTATTTTTAAGTGCTTTGAATTATCCAATATATGAATATTTCCCATTAAAATAGCTTGTTTTGTCTTGGAATATTTTTAATGACTCTTTTCCAGTGTATTAGTGCATAGAGTTATTAATTTATTCTACCTTTTAAAGTCTTAAAATGCTTCAGAATAACAAAGTTTACTTTTTGAGGAATATTTTGTACGGTAAGCTGGGAAAGCACCTGTTTGTTGACAAGTTTCTGGAAAGGTACATCTGTAATGAACCAGGTTGTTCTGTGATGAGTTATAGAAGAAAAGTGCCTGTAACAAATGTAGTATAAGCAAGAAAATGGGGCCCTGTCAGTTTATCTTCACTGTTATTTTATTCTTATTGAAGGCCAGCACCACTCTTGAAAAATATCCAGTTATCAGAATCCAAGGCTCGGGAGTTGTACCTGCAGGTCATTCAATACATGAGAACAATGTATCAGGATGCCAGGCTTGTCCATGCAGATCTCAGTGAATTTAACATGCTGTGAGTATGTTCGTCCCTTAGGAACCTCCCATAAGTAGTTTCATGTCCTTTGAAAAAATAAAATTTCAATCCAAGATGTCATCCTAAATTCTAAAGTTTAAAAGTTGGCTTCTACATGGTCACAGTATAGGATGTGTTTCCTGCCTTGGTGGCCTTAGTCATTGAGTTGAGCCCTCACGTCACCCTCGTGGATGTGTGCACATCACTGGTGTTTTTCACAGTCCCGTGTCTGGCCCGCAGGTACAGCGGTGGGGGTGTGTACATCATTGACGTTTCTCAGTCTGTGGAGCATGACCACCCACATGCCTTGGAGTTCTTGAGAAAAGATTGTGCCAATGTCAATGGTAAGTGGAAATTGTCTACCAGCTTGTTTGTGTGTGTTGGGCCTATAATCTGTTAAAGTGTTGATATAAAATCTTAGTGCTAAGTCGTTTGATGCAGTGATACCTATACCAGTAGCTGGCAGAAGATATGTTTTTATTTCTTTGTTTCTCTATAGAGTTGTCGGAATAATAACCTTTTCCCTTGTGAAGCTATCATTACCGTTTTTCTTCTGACAGATTTCTTTTTGAAGCGCAATGTTGCTGTGATGACTGTGCGGGAGCTCTTTGAATTTGTCACAGACCCATCAATTACTCAAGAGAACATGGACGCTTATCTCTCAAAGGTGAGATGGGGCAAGGAAGGGAAAAAACAGAAACTAGCAGTAGTAATTTGCATTTATGTGGCACTTCTGAGGACTCAGATTGCTCAGCATAATTTTTGTTCATTTAACAGCTTACTGAGACCTTTTCCTTCTGATTTCACAGATGGAGAATCAAAAGTATAGTAAAAAGCCAATGGGAAAGCCAGGTTTCTTGACTTTAATCATCAGACAAGATTACATAGATGTCAAAGTTAGGAACATTTAGTAAGAAATGTTCTTAGCTTTTGCTCATTAATTCCTTTCCCTTATTTCTCAGAGGCCTTTCTGTATCGCAGAAATTCTTGAATTGTGGTAAAATATACAAAGCATAAAATTTACCATTTTAACCATTTTTAAATGTATAGTTCAGTGGCATTAAGTACATTGACACTGTTGTGCAACCATCAACACCGGGCATCCACAGAGCTTTTTCATCTTATGAAACAAACTCAGTACTCCTTAAACACTAACTCCCCATTTCTCCCTCCTCCCAGCCCATTATACTTTCTGTCTTTGAAGCTGACTACTCATATAGGTGGAATTACACACTATTTGTCTCTTTCTGACTGACTGACTTCACTTAGCACAATGTCCTCAAAGTTCATTCATGATGTCAGAATTCCCTTCCTTTCGAAAACTGAGTGATAATTCCAGTGTATGCGCATACCACCTTTGGTTTATCCATTCATCCATCTATGAACACCTGGTTACTGCCACCTTTTGGCTGTTGTGAATGCTGCAGCTGTGAACATGGGTGTGTAAATATCTCTTCAAGACCCTGTCTTCAGTTCATTTGGATGTACACCCACAAGTGGGATTACTGGATCATATGGTAATTCTACTCTTAATTTTTTGAGTAACAGCCATACTGTTTTCCTTAGTGACTGCACCATTTTACATTTTCATCAAAAATGTGCCAGTGTGCAAGGGTTCCAATTTTTCCACATTCTCACATCCTCACAAACAATTGTTACTGAGTAGCTATCCTGGTAAGTGTGAGCTAGTGTCACAAAGTTTTGATGTGCATTTCTCTGATGATGTTCAGCATCTTTTCATGTACTTGTTGGCCATTTGTATATCTTCTTTGGAGACATGCCTATTTAAGTCTTTTGTCTGTTTCTTAATCATATACTTTTTTTTTAGTTAAAGGATTTTTTTACCTATTCTGATTAGTAACCCTATATGATTTATAAATGTTTTCTCCATTCCATGGGCTGCCTTTTCACTCTGTTGATTGTATTCATTGATGTACAAAAGCTTTTAATTTTGATGTTCAGGTTATCTGTTTTTCTTTTTTATCTTCACCCAAGAATATGTTTGTTGATTTTAGAGAGGAAGGGAGAGACAGAGAAACATTGGTCAGTTGTCTCCCGTATGTGCTCCAAATGGGGATTGAACCCACAACCTAGGTATGTGCCCTGACTGGGGATCGAACCTGCAGACTTTTGGTGCATAGGACGATACTCAGCCAGCTGAGCCACACTGGCCAGGGCTAAAATATTTTCAACCCAACATTGGTTGAATCTGGGGATGAAGAACCTGTAGATACAGATACACAGATGTGGAGAGCCAACAGTATTTTCATGTTATGTAACTAATAGAAGTAGTCACACTGTATCACTTCCTATATAAAGTTTTTTTCATTTTTTCACACTCTACTTAGACTGTGAACTCTTAAGGGACAGGAGTTTTACTCTTGTATTGCCAATACCTAATCNTTTTCACACTCTACTTAGACTATGAACTCTTAAGGGACAGGAGTTTTACTCTTGTATTGCCAATACCTAATCAGTACCTGGCAGGAGTAACTAATCACATGTTAATTGAATGAGTAAATATCACATCATTTATATTCCTAAACCCTTTAACGCTAATTTTACTGTCTCACCTCAAAACAAAAGGCCACCTAGAACCACTGTTCTATCCTTTTTTCTGTGTATTCTAAATAGACTAGAGAACAAATCTTCAGTTTTATGAGCCCAAGGATGCCTGTAGAACGTGTGTCACACTTTTAGTGTCATTGTTCAGATGGCTTCCTCTGGTGGTTCATGCTGCAGTGGCACTGGAGCCACATACTCAGATTAGAGGACAATCCGCTTTCCCTTTGATCCCTTCATTGCTTGCTCAAGAATTAAGGAATGGCTCTTTCATTTTGGGGTCTCAGTTTTCCTTTAGTAAGTATTTTTGCTAATTGTTTGAAACTTAGTAAAAGTGGTATTACTTTAGAGGAAGGGGTTAAGGCTCCCTGAGGTTAGACAGGGTTGATTTATCCTGTTACTTTGGGTTGACAGCAGCCTTTTTGGTGAGGTCTAACATGAGAGGAACCTGACCACGAGAAGACACCAAGTCCTTTTTATTATAAGTTGAAGAGGTGATACCGAGGAAGATTAGAACAGGTTTATACTAAAGTTGGGAAATGGATGTATCTTCTATAGGTTGAATGTGAAGGAAAGTAATTGTTTTCTTTCCAAGGCCATGGAAATGGCATCCCAAAGGACCAAGGAGGAAAGGTCCAACCAAGATCGTGTGGATGAAGAGGTAAGGTTTATCATCTGTTCACACCCTTAGGAAACACTTGTGCTTTGAGGTCTTTTAAAAAATATTGTTAAGGCATGAACTTGATTTTTATAGGCACTTATTTTAAATGATAATATTTCCTTGAGATGTAATATGTTATATAATTGTTGTATAACTTACATTCCATTACATCATTCCACTCAGCAACCCATTAGTCCAGTGTCCTAGGTGGAAAACATTTTAAGGAACCTATTGGAGTATGGAAAACATTTTAAAGAACCTATTGGAGTATCTGATTCAAGAAGGAAAAGCCTGTTTTCATTTGCAAATATGGATTTTTAAATATTGATTCAGTAGTAATTCAGATTTTAAATATTTGTGTTTGGTAAAAAGGAAAATTATTTTAATCTTGGGAGTCAGTGTATTTTTTGTGAAGATGATCCACAGTAGGCATTATTTTTTATTTTATTTTATTTTATTTTATTTTATTTTATTTTATTTTTTTATTTTATTTTATTTTATTTATTTTATTTATTTTATTTATTTTATTTTATTTTTTTATTTTATTTATTTTATTTTATTTTTTTATTTTATTTATTTTATTTTATTTTAATTTTATTAATTCTCACAGATATTAGTGTGCTGGATGAATATAAGGTGCCCTGTGTTCATCAGCAATAGCATAGGGTGGGTGATGCTCCTGTTAGAATGTGTTCCTTCATAAGGCACAGCCAGGCAATTACATTCCTTTGTCTCCCACCCAGAAAAACTTCTTAGAATGCAAACAGGGAGAGAGGAGTGTTACTCTATTCAAAGGGTAACCGTAGTCATATTTAGTCTTTTAGCCTTGGTAACAACCTACTCCTGGCACAGTGCACAGCCCATGCAGCACCAGCCTGTGCGGGCGGCCTGGCCGACAGTGTTGTAGACGGTGAGGGTGCGTTTTCTGTGCCCAATGGGGGCGAGGGTGCTGGTGAGGGTGTGTTTTCTGTGCCCGATGGGGGCAAGGGTGCTGAGCAAGTGTGAGAAGTGTGCGAATAACAGTTTCGTTTTTCCTTTCCCTCTGTGTTCGCTAGGTGTTTAAGCGAGCATATATCCCTAGAACCTTGACTGAAGTAAAAAACTATGAGAGGGACCTGGACATAATGATGAAGCTGAAGGAAGAAGACATGGCCATGAACGCCCAGCAGGACAGTGTGAGTAGCTAGGCGCCCACGGGGCACCACGTTTGCAGAGGGAGCTGCCGGGCCCAGGCTGCCGCCTCCAGCTGCCTTCCAACCTAGTGAGACGCCTCATTCCCGTGGCATGCGCATGGCCTTCTTGCACGTTGAGTGTAAAGTGAATTCACTGGTATTTAAGTCTAGGATATAAGTGGTTATTATACTGGATCCATTAACATAGATATTTCAGGGTCTGGACATTTGTTTCTGTTAAAGGGCCAGGTAGTAAATATTTTAGGCTTTGCAGGCTGAGAAGCAAAACCGAGGCTACTATGTAGGTCATTATATGAAAAGAGAAAAAAATTTCCTCCGGATTTTTATTGACGAAATATAAAACACTAATAACAACAGCTTTTCATGATACTGGTCTACTAATGAGAGAAAGAAGGAGTCACGTTGGGGAGGAGAATACATTTCATTTTCTTGAGATTCAGAGTTTTCCGTCATATTGATTGCGAATGTTCATCAGTAGAAGCCATGAGTCTGTCTGTTGGGTTTGGCCTGTGGGCTAGAATTGGCTGATGCCTGTATGCTCGGTGGACAAGAACAACACCCATGCTATAAACTTTCTTTTTACTATGAGATGAATTTTAGGCAGCTTTTTATAATCCCACAGTATATCATTTAGCCCACAGTGTTGTTTCTTAGTACTGGAGTGTGTTGTTGTCAAGTTTTATGTTAATTTTTGTTTTTTTCTTTGTGGTTACAAGATTCTATACCAAACCGTCACAGGATTGAAGAAAGACTTGTCAGGAGTTCAGAAGGTATAAAGAATATGTGTTGCTCTTTATTTATGTGAAAACTCTGTTAAAGGGTATAAAATTTAATGTAAAGTATATTAGAATTAAATTAACAATGATATAGTTATTAGTATATATACTTTCGAAGTCTGTGAGCATTTTCGGAAATGCCCTTTTCGTGTTCAGTCTTCTTAATCATAGTCTGAAATACAGAAATGTCTGGTTTATTTTTCATTCTGCCTCTGAATTGATCTGTTGTTATAGCTGAGGCATTGATCTTTTTTGTATCCTGGTCTTCATTTGTGAAGTTATTAATGATAACCATGTGCTTCTTGATGTTTTTACAACCAGCTTCTTAAAAGTATGTATGAAGAGCATTCTCAGGTCTTTAGCAGTCTGATAGTGCTGGATTCCTGCAGTATTTTTTCCTTAAAATAATCTTGTTTTACATTTTAGAGTAACAGGGATTAATTCTAGCTTAAGCAGTAATAAAGGTAGTTTTTATTTCTTTTAATGTTTTTAATTAAAGGCTTACACATGAAGGATCACAGTTGGCTCTGAAAATTTACTTTGTCTTTTATGGGAAGAATTGACTTTAAAATTTTTTTTTTCCCTTATAAAAAGAAAATCTCTTTTTAAAAAGTGCTTCCTGCTGCTTTAAAAACTGCTAAAAAAACTTCAAGGGAAAAATGAAAATTTCTTGTTTAAATATTAGCTTCCCTCTTGATCAGGTGAATAATAATTGTTACTTCAAATTGATTTGTAGGAAAACAGCTGCAAATTTATTCAAATACGCATTTTTTTACTCCTGTCTGTATTTCTCAGTTGTTACCACGTAGCGATGTTTCAGTCAACAGCAGCCTGCATATACTGTTACAGTCCCATAAGATTATAGTGGAGCTGGAAAACCGTTGCCTAGCGATATCACAACAGCATAGTGCAGCACATTGCTCACGTGTTTGTGGTGAGGCTGGTGTAAACAAGCCTGCGCTAACAATTGTATGAAAGTACAGTGCACATANTGCTGGTGTAAACAAGCCTGCACTAACAATTGTATGAAAGTACAGTGCACATAATTACAGCAGGAGCTGTGGAGTGTTCGTACAACGGCAAATCGCCTAATAGGCGTTCATTGCTCAGAATGTACCCCCGTCATCACTCAGGACATGCCTGCCTTTCCAAATCCCAACTGTCTTCCAGTTCTGGAGTGGAACAGTTATGTTGTTGTTGGGTCATCCAGTAAAGCCCCAGTTTCTTCATGTGGTGTGTTCTTGAGTCTTACTCGAATGGCTGGCTACTTCCAGGCTTCCTCCCTCGTATTGATTCTGTTGTTTTGATGTTTGAGTACAGGCTTTTGTTTTTCAGAGTATATCTGCAAGTCTAAAATCTGAGTTCTGGCATTAACAAATTTGATAACAACAGATAACTGATCGAATAACATGGTTCTGTAATCTTTTCAAGGTCCCTGCACTCCTAGAAAATCAGGTTAATGAAAAGAATTGTTCTGATTCAGAAGATGGTGGCAGCTCTGAGTGTTCTGACGCAGGATCTGAAGAGCAGGGAGACCATGCCTGCTCCAAGAAAGCCACCACTGACCTTGACGTTGATAAAAAGGTTAGCCAGGAATGAAAATTCCCTAATTCTTTAACATGGCAGCATGGCCACTCTCATTTCTCTTTGCTCAAGTATCTAGATTATGGTGGCTGAAAACATTATTGATTAGTAAATACCTCTAATTGTAGTTTTAGTTCCTAAGCATGAACTTTGATTTTGGTGGTAACATTATCTAGAGATTGGGCTTCTGTTGGGAGCTCCTTGGGCACTGCCACGGAAAGGACACACTGAATTCAGTACATTGATTAGAAATGATTGTCATTCGCTCGAAGTACAAATGATGTTGGAGTTGCCTCGTGGTGAAATACTGAAGAGCCCCTTCAGGGAGATTTACAGCCCAGAGTTTCCAGAGTCTGAAAGGCTTTTTCTTCCACTCCTGGCTATAGACAGAAGAGACACTTGTGGTTGAATGATACCACACCTGTGATATGACAACTGTGTAACTATTACTCTTCATTCTTAGTTTAATCCTTAAATTTTATAAAGTATGGATTGTAAGACTTCTGAGAGATATACCCAACTTGCTGTTACTACATTTTCTCTCTTTGTCTACTAGGGATATTTTGTCTCTTTCCAACCTTTATTTATTTATAAATATATCTTTATTGATTTCAGAGAGAGGAAGAGAGAAGGAGAGAGAGAGATAGCAACATCAATGATGAGAGAGTTGTCATTGATCGGCTGCCTCCTGCACACCCCCGACCGGGGATCGAGCCCGCAGCCCGGGCATGTGCCCTGACTGGGAATCGAACCACGATCTCCTGGATCCCACGTCAATTCCCAGCCGCTGAGCCATGCCCAGCTGGGCTCTTTCCAACCTTTATTTCTGTCAGAATATGAAACTTGTAAAGAAAAGTAATTGCAAGCATTTAATAACATCCTCATGGATATTTCTGTTTTGCAATCTTCAGATTTCTATTAGGATACCTTCAAGACAATTTCACCCCAAATTCCACCACCAAACCATAATCATTTTTATTTTTTCATAGTGTACTTTAAAAAAAAATCCTTTTTACTTAATTGTAGCAATGTGAATAATATGAATGGAATTTGCTTATGAAAAGAAAACCTTGTCTTTAAAAAAATGTGCTTCCTGCTGCTTTCAAAACTGCTAAACTTCAGGAGGAAAAAATGAAAATTTGTTTAAATACCATCTTCCCTCTTAATTGAGTTAATATTAAGTGTTACTTGAAATTCAATTCATAGGCAAACAGCTGTGACGTTATCCAAGTAAGTCTTTATTTTTTCCTTCTATCTATATTTCATAGATTTATTTTTAAATTTTGGTTTTGTTTTACAGGAAAGAAAAAAGATGGTCAAGGAAGCCCAGAGAGAGAAAAGAAAAAACAAAATTCCTAAACATGTGAAGAAAAGAAAGGAGAAGACAGCCAAGACAAAAAAGGGCAGATAGAATCAGAACTATATTATGTACAGTAATTTCCCATCAGTTACTTTCTTGCCTTACTCCAAGCTACATCTGGAAGATGGGGTATTGATTTTAACCTAATGGCTATTACGGCAATGTCTGTGAAGACTGATTCAAGTGTTTCATGTAATTATGTAAAAAGCTCTAAGCTCTGTTGTCCAGATCCAGTCACTGACTCTGTCTGGCACTGACAGAGAATTTATTTAAGCTATTTTAATGAAGAACTTTGTACAGTTTTAGTTCTATATATTTTTTCTCCATTATGTTTTTTGAAGCATCATAAATATTTAAATGTATTGAATGTTCACAAGCTTTATGTCAGTGTGAAGGCACTGTGGACAAACTTGGGCCAATTGTTTTGCTTTGTTTGTACATGCCAAAGACCCATCTGAAGTCACATGATTAAAAGGCCATGGTTTCTGTAAAAGGGAGTTTCACTTATGGGAGAATTCTCCTGGCTGTTGATGATTCACTGCAGCTTTGTTCTCTGTGCATTGATGATGATCTGAAATGCACTCTTCATCTTTAATCTTTCCTGAGCTAGGACCTCCCACTTTAGAAGCTATTTCATGTTCAACTATTTGGCATATTCATTCATTCATCAAATATTTGAGTATTTTGGTGCTGGGGATACAGTGCTAAATAAAACAGACAAAAATTACTACCTGAGGGTAGTTTACATTTTAGTAAAAAGACAAGGCATTAAACAAAATAAGTAAAAACAGTGTATCAGCAGGTGACAAATGCTGTGGAGAGAATTATTGCAGAGAAGAGAGAATGCCTGGGAGAAGTAAGTTTGCCATTTTAAAGTAGGCCACACTGAGGCTATATTTGAGGAAGTACTTGGATAATATGAGTCATGTGCATATCAGGAGAGAAGAGCATTCCGGGCAAAGCAAACAGCAAATGCTAAGGCCCTGAGGCAGAAGTATGCCTGAAAAGTTCCAGAAACAAGGGAGAAAATAGTAGATGAAATCAGATGGCGTTAGGCTGTTGCAGGGTTTTGAGCAGAGGAGTGATATGACTGGACTTCTGTTTTGAAAGGTCACTATCACTTTGGCCTCTAGAGAATTGAAACAAGGGTGGGAGACAGTTGGGTATTTATTGTCGTAACCCACTGCGAAGACGACAATTTGCTCTAGGGCAGTAGCAGGGGACATGGAGAGGAGTGGCTGGATTCTAGATAGGACACAAAAGTGCAGTGAACTAGGTGTGCTAGGGAACGTGTGAGTACAGAGGATGATGTCGGATTATGACCTTAGCGACAGAGACTACTGGAATTGCCACTTACTGTGGTGGGAAAGAATGTGAGTGGGGCAGGCTTGGGGTGAGAAAGGGAGTAGTAAGAGGGTGAGACTGCAACAAAACACAAATATTGAGAGAGGATCAAAATTTTTTTTACCATATACTTTACATCAGAAATAGTTTCTACAAATAAACCTTGTTTCCATTAAACTGAAGCTTGCATCTGCTTGTTTGAGAGTTGATGGGTTATCGGGGGTGAGGGGGTTTAACTGAGCTTTTAAAATTTTAAGTCAAATTTATTATGTTCAGCCCTAGCCGGTTTGGCTCAGTGGCTAGAGCATCGGCCCGCAGACTGAAGGGTCCCGGGTTCGATTGTGGCCAAGGGCATGTACCTTGGTTGCAGGCTCGATCCCTGGCCCCGGTCAGGAGGCAACCAATTGATGTGTCTCTCACATCTGTCTTTCTCTCTCTATTCCCCTCTCTGAAAAGCAATAGGAAAAAAATATATCCTCAGGTGAGGATTAAAAAAAAAATTTATTATGTTCATAATATCCTCCCTTGTGGACTTTTTTAAAAAGTTCAAAATAGGAAATAGAATTTTGATGAAATATTCTGTAGTTAACAAAAGAGAATGCAAAGCAGATTTAGTAATTCTCTATACTTTGGGGGATTTTTATCTTCGAGATCTTCCAGTTGCATTTGGTCTTATTCTGACAAAATTTACTTGTATTTGTGTTTTGTTTGTTTTCTCAATCACAGTTGACGTTCAATATATTAGTTTCAGGTGTACAACATAGTGGTTAGACATTTGTACAACTTATGAAGTGATTCCCCCAAAAGTCTAGTATCCACGTGGCCTCATACATAATTATTACAATGTTGTCAACTATATTCCTTATGCTGTACTTTACATCCCGTGACTGTTTTGTAACTACCAATTTGTACTTCGTAATCCCTTCACCTTTTTCACCCAGCCCCCTAAACTCCCTCTCATGTGTTAACGACCAGTTTGTTCTCTGTATCTGAGTTATTGTTTTTGTTCATTTATTCTGTTCTTCAGACTCCACATATAAGTGAAATCATACGATATTTATCTTTGACTTATTTCACTCAGTATAATACCCTCTGGGTTCATCCATGTTGTTGCAAATGGTAAGATTTCATTCTTTTTATGGCGGAGTAATATTCTGCTGTATATATGTACCACAGCTTTATCCAATTGCCTACCGATGGACACTTAGATTGCTTCCATATCGTGGCTAGATGAAATGTTCTTTGTCTCTTGTTATAGCCTTTGTTTTAAAGTCTATTTTGTCTGGTATAAGTATTGCTACCCAGCTTTTTTTCATTTCCATTTTCATGAAATATCTTTTCCATCCTTTTACTTTCAGTCTGTGTGTGTCTTTTCATCCGAAGTAGTGCTCTTGTAGGCTGCACATGTATGAGTCATTTTCTTATCCATTCGGCCACCTTATGTCTTGATTGGTGCACTTAATTCATTTATATTTAAAGTGATTGTTGATAGGTACGTAGTTATTGCTATATTGTTATTATTCATATCTTTTTCTTTTTAAAGAGGGCCCATTAACATTTCTTACAATATTGGTTTGGTGGAGGTGAACTCCTTTAGCTTTTTCTTATCTGAGAAGCTCTTAATGTCTTGGATTCAAAACGCAGCCTTGCTGGGTAGAGTGATCTTGGTCGTAGGTCTTTGCTTTTTATCACTGAATATTGCGTGCTAATCCCTTCTGGCCTGCAAAGTTTCTGTTGAGAAATCAGTTGACAGTCACTTGTAGGTAATNGTTTCTGTTGAGAAATCAGTTGACAGTCACTTGTAGGTAATTGATTGCTTTTCTCTTGCTGATTTTAAGGTTCTTTGTCTTTAACCTTTGGCATTTAACATGATATGAGCCTCTGGGTTCATTTTGTTAGGACCTTGTTCTTCCTGCACTTGTATGTCTGTTTCCTTCACCAGGTTAGGGAAGTTTTCAGTCATTATTTCTTCAAATAGATTTTCAATTTTTGCTCTCTCCTGGTATCCCTATGTTGCAAATATTACCCTTGATGTTGTCCCAGAGACCCCTTAAACTATCCTCATTAAAAAAATTTTTTTTTGCTTTTTGCTGTTCTGATTGGGTGTTTTCCACTACCTTGTCTTGCAGATTGCTTATTTGATGCCCTGCTCTATTTAATTTGATGTTGATTCCATCTACTGTATTCTTCATTTCTATCTGGTTCTTTTTTATGGTTTCTATATCTTGGTGTAAATTCTCACTGACTTCACCGAACACCCTTATAACCAGTGTTTTATACTCTATCTGGTAAATTGCTTACCTGCATTTTATTTATCCCCCCCC